TTATATTATATTATATTATATTATATTATACTATATTATACTACATTATGTTATATTACATTATATTATATTATATTATATCACATTATATTATACTATACTGTATTATGTTATATTATATTATATTATGTTATATTATATTATGTCATATTATATGATATGATATGATATGATATGATATGATATGATACGATATTATACTACATTATATTATAGTATAGTACAGTAAAGTATAGTATAGTACGGCACAGCAAAGTGTAGCATAGTAGTTCATAGTATATTATACCACAACGCATCGTATTATAGTATATTATATTATTAGAATATTATATGACAGCATATTATATTGCAGCATATTATATTATATTATTTTATGCGGTATTGGACCATATCGTCGTAATGTTTCGTGTTAGAAAGTAAAAAATAGATGACGTGTCTATCTCACGCCACAGTTGCACTTCTTAAACTACTGACGGCATCCATTTCACAATATTGCTACACTTCTTGAGGTACCTATTGGTCTGCACGCATAACAGGTTAAACTGAATAAACAAAGGATGAATTAAAAGAAGTCAGTTGGTTTTCCGGCATACAGAGGAAAGGAGGGAAGCACGAGAAAGAAGTCCAATACGTCTTTTCGTTTTTATGTCGCCAGAAGAAAACCTTTTCAATTTGCGGACAGCGGGACCAAAAAACTACTGGAGTTCTGAAGAACGAAAACAAATAGTTTGGAGTCACAAATGTTAGCAAAGAGGCTAAGGAAAAGAGAGATAGAAATTGTGGCAGTGTGAATATGTAGGAGATCCAAAATACTGTTTATTTTTTATATTAACCAAAATCTTAATACATCAATTTCGTGTAATACACTGAATGAATCAATTAAGGAAATTGTTGGGACGGAGGACAGTGAGTCACTTCTATTACAGCGTGGTAGCAATGGCGAAAGAGAATAAGTCGACTGGTTCACCGGAAAACTACATTTTAAAAACACTTCCCATCGGCACTCTAAACCAGCTATCAAACAGTTTCTGATGTGGCTGTGAAAAAAGAAATAAAAAAATTTGTCGTCTTTTCCGCTTATCAGATTGTCGTAGAGATAAAGCAGAAAATAAAAAAAAACACCCTGATATCAGTGTCACTTTCGAAATCACTGCTTTGTATACGCCGGCGTGTCTTTATGTGACGAACATCATCATTCACAGTGTTTGATGCAGGTCAAAAGAACCCAAAAAAAGATTAATAGAAATTTGGAATAAAAAAACGGCACGGCATCGCGGAAAATGAAGTCGGTTATGTATAACGCGCAACATAACATGAGAAAGAAATTCTGACACAGAACCTCGTCGAGAACGTTTCCGTTTGGTTTTTTTTTCAGAAACGAAACGATGTATAGTGGGAAACTCAAGCCAGTCAAAAGTGATTTGCTAGTTCTTTAATGATAAGTGCTCGTTCACAACCTCAGTAGTTCAGAGTAACTGAAAAAGCTCAGATAAGAACCCACAATCTCAAACCAACATTTCCTTACAAAGCCACAAGTTTGCTTTCGAAGTTAAGTCGACATTGTTACCGCTGTTAAGTAAATACGCCAGAAAGAAGAGAACCAAAACTGCTACTTGGAGCAACCTACTGAAAGCAAATGCACTGAAGCACAAAAGTAATCTTCTTCCCTCCTTCATTCCCTTTTTCCCCTTCTTCTGCTCCTCTTCGTTTCCTCTTTTTTGTATATACGTGTTTTTTCTGAAGGTTTGAAGGTAAATATTCTGCCCGCAAACCTTTAAAAACAACATCTCTGTCGAAAAAACACAAAGTTACTTCTTTCTCGACCTGTTCACTTTACCACTCCAGCAATTTTTTGCTCAAACTCATGCAAAATTTAAGTAAACAAAAGTTATATGTAAGTCTTGATTCAGTTTTTGAAGATAGAAGTTAGCAGAATAAGTACCAGAAATGTGTAATTTTGAATAAAAAAAAAAACAGAGATTTAATATAGAAAAATAAACATGAAAGACTAAAGTCTTCCAACAAACATGAAGAACTACTTTTTAAATTACAGTGTAATCGTTGCAGCAGAACGGCTCCAGATTTAACACGGAAAATGAGAAATTGAATAAGGAAAATAGCAAAGAAAAATTTTTCTACACTCAGTCAAAACTAATACATTTCAAACGCATATACAACAAGTAGATCTGCAACAACAATTATTAACAAAAAAGTATTTAACACGCATTAAATTGAACCATGAGAAAGGCTCTGTACACTGAGGATTTCTTAACTTTCTTGGCAGATTGGAAAAACTGGATTTAAAGGCACCGGAGGAACTAAAAAGTTGTAAAGACCACATTTACCCGTGAAAAGTCATAACAGCAACAAATGATATTTACGAATAATACGACAATAATCAAAGTTAAAAGCACAAAACAATGCGATAAGAAAAAATCACAAAAGAATTTTCCAAGGGAAAAATTCAAAGCAAACACATAGGCGTTGCACAAGGTTGACATTAATAAATTTCCTATTGAAACCCAATATTAGCACTCAACGAGCTTGAATATCCTCCCACACAATAACAGAAGAGAAGGAATGGTTTAGGCAGTTAATGGGAACTCAAATAAACAGTCACATAAAGTTTACAATCTACCCAGCAAAAAACTTCTCAGCCAAAGGAATTAGCAACGAGCACATGCTCCTGGTTAATAACCACACTAGCGTGGTCTGGCGAGGGAAGAATCATATCCAGCCACTCCATACAGAGCCCCTAAACAAAAGTCAAAACTCTACTACACAAGGCAAAAAAAAAATTAATTAATGAAAAAAGCAAGTTTTCCACAGTACAACTCTACCTGATCTGAAGCAGCATTGGTTTTCGATTGTGACACGCTTTCTTCAGTGCCCGAAAGGACCGTGTGTTCAGCGTCTCTGACAGAAGTTTGACCGCTGCCATGCTACAAAACGGTGCTGCTTAAATAAAGCCAAGAAAACTTCCAAAAATCACCCGGTTTTTCAAAAAAAAAAAAAAAACTTTTGCAAGACTTATTCTTTATCCTTGTTTTAAGAGATCCAGTCCGAAAAATGCAATTTGAGCTTTTAAAATACCCGTAACGAAGGACTAAAAAATTACAGAAAATATAGATTCAAAGCAAACTTCTTCAACGTCCTTTTCATAACCTTGCTTGTATGACGGCGTTGCGTGCATGGTACTGTCATGATCAAACCAATCCTCCCCAAATAAGGTAGCAATTTCATCAGAAGCATAACTGGCAATCCCACTTTCTCCTCCATTTGACCGACACTCACCAAGACCTGATATCGCTACAAAAGGTCAATTCAAAAGTTTCACTCGAGTATAGCACAGATAACTCTCGAATCATAAAAATATTAAA